GGAGCTCTGCATTCAAATGGGTATAGATTTCCTTTTCTCCTTTGCTTTTTGCTTCTCTTCTTTTCTCAGCTATTTGTAAGGCCTCCCCAGACAACCATTTTGCCGTTTTGCATTTCTTTTTCTTGGGGATGGTCTTGATCCCTGCCTCCTGTACAATGTCATGAACCTCCGTCCATAGTTCTTCAGGCACTCTATCAGATCTAATCCCTTGAATCTATTTGTAACTTCCACTGTATATTCTTTAGGGGTTAGAGCTAATTGTGTTTCTAGTAAGCTGGGAGGGGAAAGAGGAAAGAAACCAAATCTGTTAAGAAGAGAACGGCCACTGGTGATCATGAGGCAGCCAGCAAAGCATTTTGTTTTGTCAGTGAAAATAATAAACAATCTATAATAAGAATAGAAAAGAGATTTGTTTGAGCCAAACTAAGGACTAGCCTAGAAGCCTGCTTTCCAGATTACTCTGAGAAAATACTCTCAGCACTTTCTGAGAAGCAGTTTTCAGCAGTTTTGTATCTTGTCAGAACAAAGAACATTAAACATGTCAGGGTTACATCAGGGTTTCATCAAGGTTTTAAAAGAACAGTCCAGCATGTACATAGCAAATCAGCCTGGGCTTGCACCTGAGAAGGGAGTTATTATCCCCAAAGGAGGGCTGGCATTGGCATTCCAGAAAGGGGCATTTAATCTTTAACCGTGGACAATCTTTGTTTCTCATCAATGTTTTTTTCTTTAATAATTAAAGCAGATGTACAATGCAAATTTGATACGCCACAAATGGGAATTTTAGTGAACAGTGAATTCAAGTTTAAGTGTTAGTTGCTAAATCATGTCTGACTCTTTGCAACCCCATGAACTGTAGCCCGCCAGGCTCCTCTGTCCATGGAATTCTCTAGACAAGAATGCTGGAGTGGATTGCCATTTCCTCCTACAGGGGATCTTCCCAACTCAGGGATCAAACCCAGGTCTCCTGCATTGCAGGCAGATTCTTTTCCTTTTGAGTCAGCAGGGAATTCAAGGTAACTCATGTATTAACCAGAAGGACCTCCCCATATATGAGTATGAAAATTTCTTTCATCACTTTCTGTGTCTTGGAAGAATTAATATTCTTGGGAGAGTATGTGTATTCCTGCTTTTAACAGACATTTTCTTTTTAAAGAGCAAATGAGGAGCACAAAAATGGGATTAAAACCCAGAGGAGGAGCTTGAGGCTTCACGCTGCTGAAACCCAGAACTTCATAACCCCTCCTTCCCTGCCCTCCCTCCTCTTTTCTGTTGAGGGGCATCATGGCGTCAGCACGGAAGTCACGTAGGAAGCAGAATGCGGTTGGTCCTTGAGCAATGTGGGGGTTCTGTCGTATGCTTAGTCCTGTCCGACTCTCCTGCGACTCGTGTGCTATAGCCCGCCAGGCTTCTCTGTCCATGGAATTCTCCAGGAAGGAATACTGGAATGGGTAGCCGTTCTCTTTTCCAGAGGATCTTTCCAACCCAGGGATCAAATGTCTCCTGCATTGCAGGAGGATTCTTTACCCATTGAGCCATCAAGGACCCTGATTTCTGTGCTGTCAAAAACCCTTGTATAATTTACAATTGGCTTTCCCCATATACTTGTTTCTTCCATATCTGTAGCTCTGAATCTGTGGATTCAAGCAGTGGGTATCCTGTAGTGATGTAGTATTTACTTAAAAAAAAAAAAATCTGTTGTAGTGGACCCATGCCCTTCAAACCTTGTTCAGGGGCAACTGTACAAGTGAGAATGCTTCTCCAGCCTCAAGGCTCTTAGGGAAGGAGTAATAGATTGGGTGGTGAAAGACCTCTTTCCTGATGTCTCCCAAAAGTAAGATGTGTTTACTTGTGTGAATTTTCAGGAGTCTGCTGGCCTTGGCATGAGTTGGAGAGCAGGGGAGTAGGTAAAGAATGAGGTAGAAGCCCACAGTGGCGATTTCCCAGCAAGGGACAGTTTTATCACTGAGCCTGTGGCAGAGTGGGCATTGTTTCCTTCTGTGCCTTTTTCCTGCCTGTCAGGACATTTTGTCTTTTGTCTTTCCCACTCATCACGTCTAGTTGCCAGCCCAGTGCCCACTGGCTGTCCCAAAGGCTTCATTTCCCTCTCACTTCACACATCTGTAAGCTTTGTTGTTTAGTCACTAAGTCATGTCCAACTCTTTTGGGACCCCAAGGACTGTAGCCCGCCCGGCTCCTCTGTCCATGGGGTTTTTCAGGCAAGAATACTGGAGTGGGTCAGCATTTCCTTCTCCAGGGGATCTTCCTGACCCAGAGATCAAACTCCTGTCTCCGGCATTGGCAGGCATGTCTTTTATTGCTGAGTCACCAGGGAAGACCATCTGTAAGCTTATGCCTGTGTAAATTCAGTGTTTCCTCTTTCAGCAGAGTGGTCTCAAGGTGGATGAGCTAATTTTCTTCCAAACTGAATGAGAGGAAGGTAGGAGGTGGGGTTGATTATCACTTTTCAAATTGGTCCTCTTAGCCCCGTGCCCCGGAGGGAGTTTGAGGGATAGCCTGATAGTTTGAGGGATAGGGAATCTGGTTCTTTTGTCTGGGGGTGAAAAAGGTCCTGAAAATATTCAAAGAGCAAATATGAGTGGAACGTCAAGTCTGAGGAATTAAGGCAAAAGGACTGTGGTGACTAACCAAGCCCAAAGATGGTGACTAACCGTCTTTAGTGGAAGGTGCCTCTGAGTCACCTGTGTTTTCGACAGTGATACAAAACGGAGCACTGTACACATAATACCATGTGGCCACAAATCAGTCAGCTGAGTGCTGCATCCCACACAACAGCAACGCGTTGCTTCAGCCCCTGCAGGAACAGGTTCTGGAGATGAACTGTCTGTTCTTTTGTTCATTGTGAGCAGAATCCAGTGGGTGGATGATGGATAAGATCTCCAATGTTTACTTTAGTTGTTACACTCCCCTGGCACCACACCCCACTTTCCTACTTTATTTAAAGTAATAAAAAAGAAAAGCAGAACTGAAGAAAATTGACTACTGAATGTGGTTTCAGGCACCAAGTTCTTTTTACTTCCTTTTTTTTTTTTAAAGTTTTTCATTGAAGTTAGGGCAGGGCAAAGGGGCATCTGGAAGGGGAGGATGCAATCCTGGCTTAATGGGCCCTTTATGGGACTGGAGTTTTTGGAAGAACTTCAAATGGAGTGAAATGACTAAACTTTCCCGGTTTCAAGGAGTTATGTGTGTGTGTGTGCGGGAGAGGGGGAGGGAGGGGAGAAATCCCCAGCACAGAACTCACTGGCACATTAGGAACATAAGGCAAGACAGAACACAATACATCTGTGGGTGAGATGCAGAGTTTGGAGGAGATAATGACTCTTTATTTTTTCAGCATTCTTGTTACATGCGTAGCATAGCAGCTTTAAAGGAGAACAATAAGAACAATTTTTTTTTTTACTTTCCCAGTATACTTATTATATCAGACAATGTTGTTTTCTAAACTTCTTGAAAAAAAAAAAAAAAAGGCAATACAACCCAATATCTGTGCAGGTCTCTTCCCTTCTCTGAATACCCATATGTGTGCTAAGTCATTTCAGTCATGTCCGACTCTTTGCGACACCATGGACTGTAGCCCACCAGGCTCCTCTATCCATGGGATTCTCCAGGAAAGAATACTGGAGTGGGTTGCCATGCCCTCCTCCAGGGGATCTTCCTGACTCAAGGATGAAACCTGCATCTCTTAAGTCTTCCACATTGGCAGGCATGTTCTAAGGGGAATAGCCCACCTCTAGCTTTGTGGTACATCCTTACCAGTCTAAGCTGAACAGGGATAAGCATGTGACCTAAGAAATGTTTCTTTGGTGCGGAGAGGGGGTAAGTGGTTAGGGGTAGAGGAAAGGAAGCAATCTTACCTTCCATTGGATGCTGTCCTGTTTGGATATGACACTAGGAACCATGTCATGTAGTATTGTGGATGATGAAGTCTTTTAACCTGGATGATAAAGTTTGTATTCTTGGAAGGACAAGCTGAAAAATGGGAAGAACCTGGATCCTTGTTTATGTTGTTAAGTCACTGAATTTATCAGGTGGTTTATCAGTCCTAGAACTAAGTCATCTCTTGTTCTGTGAAATAATGTATTTTCCTTGTTAAAGTATTTGGACTTCAGTTTTCTATTTCTTGCAGCTTAAAAAAGTTTTAAATTTGTGTATTGATGCTGAAAGTTTATTCTGTATAATTATTTCCTTTTTTTTCCCCGTATAGGCAGTTTATCAGCCTTGGGGTTACTTTGAGACAACTCATATGAACTGGGAGCCTCAGTTTTTCTAACTGCAGAGACGAGAGCAATCCGTTATTTGTTCAACTAAAAATATTTTAGTTTATTATTTAGTTTAATATTTAGTTTATTATTTATAGTTATTAAGCACTGTATTCTAAACACTGTTCTAGAAGCTTGGAGCACATCATGAACAATAGGGAGAAATATCTCCACCCTCATAAAATAAACAAAATGAAGAAACAACATGTCAAATAGTAATGGTAAGGAGGAAAAAAATCAAGGAAAGAGGATATGAAGTCCTGTAAAGGAAGCTCTGTTTGAAGTCTTGAATAAGATGGTTTGAAGTCCTGTGGATAAGACTGTCAGGGAAGGTTTTACTGAGACAGTGACTTAATTTTGCAAACATAAGTGGAGACAGCCGCTGGGATCTCCGAGGAAGAGGGTCTGAGCACCGGCGCTGCGGTGGACGCGCCTAGCACGCTCAGAGGAGAGGTGAGAAAGGTGTAGGGGCAGTGCTGGGTCTATAGCCGCGAAGGCTGCGTGCAGGGCTGATTTTCACCCTGAGTGAAGGAGGGTTCTGTGCAGAGAAGTGACGTGCTCTGACTTCTGTTTTAACAAGCTGCTTAATCCCTGATGGCTCAATGGTAAAGAATCTGCCTGCAATGCAGGAGATGCAAGATTTTGGTTCGATCCCTAGGTCAGGAAGATGCCCTGGAAGAGGAAATGGCAACCCACTCCAGCATTCTTGCCTGAAAAACCGCATGCACAGAGGAGCCTGGCGGGCTACAGTCCACAGGGTCCCAAAGAGTCAGACGACTGAGGGTCACAGCAGACACCCCAGGAGTGGACAGGCGAGGGAAGGGGGGTGACTGAGTCTAGTCAGGGGCCTGCTCCAAGGGTACAGTCCCCTTTTCTTTCGCCTTCTTCCTTCCAACAGTATAGAGAACATGAGGGTGATTTGGCCCAAGGGAGGCAGCAGAAGCTGTTGTTGGAAGTGGTCAGATTCTGGTTATAACTTGGTAAAAATAATGGGATTTCAAATGGTTAAGAGATTGAAATTTCTGGCCTGATCAAAAAGGAAGAACTGAATTGCCAATTCTTGAGATATGAAAGAGTGTAAAGGGAGCAAGTTTTGTCACAGACAATTAAAAGCTCAGCTTTGCACATTCTGAGATGCCTAGTAGATCTCCAATGTAGATTCCAGGTAGGCTGGAATCTACATGTTGGATCTACATGTTTGGAATTTAAGAGTGATCTGAGCTGGAGATACATATTTGAGAGTCATGACATAACTTAAAGCCATTGAGATTAGGACCAATTATTCTGAGAGTGAGTGAAGATAGAAAAAAAACAGTTCCAAAATATAAAAGCCAGGTTGAGGAAAAGGGAACAGTTAGAGACGGAGGAGCGTGGAGAATGGTAGGAAGAAAATTAGGCAATGTATTGGCTGAAAGAGGAAAATGTTCTCTAAGAGTGAGATGGTAGACTGTGTTAAATGCTGCTGAGAGATTGGTAAGATGAAGACTAGACACTGGCCCCTCAAATTAATGACATTGGTGACCCTAGGTGAACTGCTTCATGGATTTGTGAGGGAAACTGGAGTGGGCTTGAGGGGTGTGAAAGAGAGGTGGCAGACAGCAAGCACACGCAGGCCTCTGAAGGTACCTGGCTGTGAAGAAAAGAAACGGGCGTTAAGTAGAATACCCCGTGTAGAAGAAATGATTTATGGCAAGGCGGGGTGGGGGAGACTTGTGGCACCTGCTGGCCAGGAGGTGTCAGCTGGAGGATTCCCCAGCAGTGGGAGAAAGGCCAGGGTGCGGCGTGCAGACAGAAAGCAGAGATCATTTCTTGCTGTGGAGGCAGAAGCTGGGTCCTCGGAGAATACGCCAGCTTACTTTTGAGAATTGTTTCGACAGAAAGGTAGAAGTACCGTAACTACTTCATGCTGCTGCTCAGACAGGTGGTTTATGCCTGCTGATTATTATTCAGACCATGGACACATAGTTCAGTATGCTACTATCTGTCCTCACTGTTATCTGACAAAGACGACCATGGAAACAGTGAAACATCTGTATAAGTCAGTAGAGTTTTATTTAATGAGATCACTCATTCAAAAGGTTGTGCTTTCTGTGTTTACTCTTACATTATATATAGTTTTTATTTATACAGAGATTCAAAACTTCAGTTACTTCAGGCTAAAATTCCTTGAGAATTTCCCCAGAATATACTGATTTACTCCCTTTCATTTTCCCTACTTTCAGCTAGATGACTACATCACTATTTCTCATTTTTCTGCTGCAACACTTGAGTATATCCTTAGCAATATCAGTAAACCAACATAAACAGGGCAGCTCATAGCAAAATAAAAGAGTTATATACACCTCTAGGTAAGGAATAACCAGAACATTGGGAATATTAATATCAGTGATTGGAACAATTACAGCTGCTGCTACTTAATATTATCCACCAAATATTATTCTGGGTACTCTCTATCCATTATCCTTAAACCCTCACAATATCCTTTTTAATTGGTATTTTTTCATTTTATAAATAGGAAAATGAAGGTCCAGAGGGAAGAGGCAACTTGCTCAAAGACAACAGAGCTGAACATTAAATCCAGGACTCTACACTGTGAGTTTCCCATTTTTGGTTTGCCCACAGTTCAGTAATTATTAACATCATCTCATATGGGTTCACAGATAGAAACACACAGTTCTTGCCTATAGAGAAGACGCAAAGATGTATTTCCAAAACCAAGGTGGTCGGCAGGAGAGGTGAACACTAACTCTGAGGCAAGTATTGAGAGAGAGCGAGCTTACAGCATGGTCCAGGGAGGGTTGCTGGAGGGGATGTTATTCTAAATTGAATTTCAAAGAACGAGTATGAATTATGTTGAAAAAGTAGGGGAAAAATATTCTAGGTTAGAAACAAACCTTGTGTGGTAGGGCTTTTAATAAACTGAACAAAGTTCAGTACTTATGTACACTCTAAGTTGGAGTAACAGGAGATGAGGTGCTTGCCTGAATATTGGCGATGATGATCCAGAAGTGTTACACAGTCAGATGTCAGATTTGCGTTAAAAGCGGCAGCGAGCTAGCGGCCATTAGGAGGAGGGCATGTTCAGAAATTTTTAGGACTCGTGTCTAGTGCTTTGTTTTCAGAAAAACTTTCCTAGGAGAGACTGTTATTTTGTGCACACAAATAACACAGTAAATTGTCATTATCACCAAGTTCATTCTTAGAGGGGAGCTCAGTTCAATAACTTCATCTTAATGTCAAAGGTGAATTCTGTAATAATAAGACCATATAGGATGTGTGGCTGTTGGCACTAGCCCACCTCACACATGCATAAATAGAGTATCCCTGAATAAATAAAAGTGGACACATTGTCAGCAGAAATCACAAATTTATTAACTCTTAAATATATCAATCAGTCATTTACCATTATGGCAAGAAATATATACAGTGTCCCATGGTAAACTGCAGTGTTTCAAAATGAGAGAAGATAATAAATGTGTAATTCCATTGTGGTGGAGAGAACAAATCACAATTTCCTCACATCATAGTGTGGAAGACAAAATTGATCTACAGTAATACTTCAACACCACATGCTAAAAGTGTAAAAAAAAAAGAAAAACCTCTATACCTAATATTTTTCTAAAATACATGTATGCCACGTATAGCCATTTCACAAAAAGGTAAAAGAAATTAAAAAGGGAAAAATGAGGCCATTACTTTTTCACAGATCTCATTGGCAGGTTAACATGGCTCAATACATTTACTGTATATATTTAAATATATATTGTTTTAAATCGTGTAATAATTATCAGAAAAGCTTCAATCCATCTACCATACGTCCACTAGTAACAATATCTAAGGTGATTAGTAATCAACACAGAAATGTGAAATGAGAGAAAAGAAGGAGCGTTGATTTTTTTTTTTTTTGCTCTGCTTTAAAAATAGGCTTCTGAGGATTGTGAATTACTGCTGTTAAAATAAGGTTGGTGAAGAGACCGTGCACTATAAAGCATTTTGGGAGGAGAAAAAGCCCCACAGGAATTGAATAAACAAGGGAAAATGAGAAGCACAAAGAAAACAGGGACGTTTCCCTTTTCTTTGTTTTAAGCAGGAAAATCCTAACTCCTAGAAGGGAAGTAATTTTACTCCAACTTGAGAGTAGCTACAAAACCATGAGTCATAGAGATAGAGTTCAAAACACTCAGACAGGCCTGCAGTGTTCTCCATCCTCTGAACTTCCGAAGCCTAGCCAGTGATCACGCAGGAGGGGCGAGGCAGAAGAATGTGCCTCTGCACAAAATCCAGATCCACGACCAGCTGGGTGCTGCCTGGCAACCGCTCCACTCAGTAGGACACGCTGCAGGTACATGAGGAACCTACTTGCTTTCCTATAAGTTTAAACGGTTCTAATACCTCCAGCTTAGTTAGGATCCCTGTGTCCAAATTAGAGCAGAATTACAAACCTTTGAGCTCTTCTTGACTTCATCTCTGTGGGCCCTGAAGATGCTCAAAGTGTGAGTCCAGCCACCTCCAAGAGGCCTCAGTTTTTATTTTACCTTCATTATGCATTTTTCACTTTTCTCACACTACTAAACAGGGGGGGAAGAAAGTAAAGCATGAAAAAAAAGATACAAAAGGAAGCAAACAAAGTGATAAAGAAATAGGATAAAATGAAGAAAAAATTTAAAAAGCACAGGTTTGAGAAAGGAACAAAAAAATTCAATTCGGCAAATTTCACCAGAACAGTGCGCGTATACCCTAAAGTTGATCAAACTTGTCAGTGATGTGAGTTTTTCCAGTTTATGTAGTTTGACCAAAAAAGACAGGACTTCAGATAGTAGCAAACCCACTAATTCTCACTTCCGCATTCATGAATGATCCAACCCACTTTGTCTAACAGCAACACAGCTTTCAGTGAAAAATCATCCATTGCAGTCAGGATCACACTAGGAAACTGAAGGTAATTTTTTGTTTTTTGCCTTTTTTTGTTAAACAAGCTAAAACAGATGAACAGCAAAGAGTTTTCAAAAATTTACTTTTCTCTTACAAACTGTCATTCAGAGAATGGTAATTCTGAAGTCTGTTTAGTCTTGGCATAAATAGAGAAATCGGATGACTAGATTGTACTCGGGAATATTGTGGAATTTTTTTTTTTGCTGACCTCCCCCTATTGTTTGCCAACAATGACTGAAGTTTGCACGGAACATCCCCATAGCTGAAGTGTAAACAATGTATAGAAGGAATCTATGACAAGATGATGCATCACACAGGCATTACACAGAGGACCTTCGCAACTTCATGCACTCGGAAACATGCATGAAGAGGAGGAGAGGACGGCTCAGTGTTACCATCCAGGTGCCTTGAGAACAGAGAACTGCAGAAGTGGCACTGTTGATGTTTAGCTGCGAAGAGAGAGGGGAGACATAACCTGTTTTATGAAGTATTATCAGATTGCTTGGCCAAAGATGAGGCGAAGCTACAATTTTTATAGCTAAGTAACAGACTGAAAATACTATGTATAAGAGATCTTTGCTTGTGGCCGTTAAGAGAGAAAATGAATGATGTTAGACAATACTGATTTCCTGCATTAATCTGTCAATTTGTTCACACAGAGCAAAGCTAAAAATACTCAGGCTGCAATCACATGATTAAATATACAATTTAAGCATTCATGCTTACCAGATAAATTAATAAATGAATTGTATTATTTAGTTGAAAGAGACTAAAAGTTTAAGTTCATCTTTTAGCTTGTCACTATTCTTAGACTCTACTGGATGTCTACCCTAGAAGTCAATTTTACAGCCTCAAGAATAGGGAATGTGGGATGATTACTATTTAACCAGAGGTCTTCTTTCTTTAAACCAACAGCTGGGAGCACTATTTCTTCCAAGCTTGGACAAAGTTCAGTGCTTTCAATGGGGAACAAATTCACAACGCTGCCACACGTATCTGAATCCTTTCAATCCAAGGTAAGAAGCCAGTCTTAAACAACACAGGCATGAATTTAACTACAGTCAACTTTCAATTATCCTCTGGAATTACTTTGTGAGTTCTAAATTTAAGCCTGACTTCCTCCTTGTGGTCAAATACCATTAAACTTGGCCAGGCACAGCAAATTAATCTACTTATTAACCTTAGCTAAGTGTAGGACAGGAACTGTAACCTCTTGAAAGACAGACATCAAAGGATCCTAGAGCCAGATGTAAATTAGATCTGGATAATTGAGAGTTGTCTGAATTGACCCAGGTAGAATTGACTTTTGACATGAGAACTCCACAATATTTGAAATGCCATGATCTGTATGCTGAAGGTAGGGTCTTTTCAGCACTTATTACCTTGAAAATAAGGGTTATGCTACACAATGTTGCCAAACGTTAGACTCAAGAGCTCATGCAGAAATGCTACGGATTTTCAAAGACCTTTTATGGTTTTCATTGACTATAATGCAAGAAAATATCCTCAAAGAGAGGAAAAACAGCCATGCAGCTTTTCAGTCAGCTCCAATCACAAAGTATCACGGAGCAGGATGTTACTTACAAGACCCATATGTGAATGGTTTTCAGGCCTTAGATGTTTTGCCACAAAGAGGTGCTTCCTGAGAAGTTTTCTTTCCCATTTGGAATACAAGGTGGCCTATTAAGAGAAGCCTCACTTAAGCCACCTGGCATAAAATGAAATTTTCTCAAGCAGGCTCTATCCATAAACACTGCAGGGAATTGTAGAAAAACCTAACCTTCTAGTACTGAATGAATGTAATCCCTTTTGTAGTAGTTGGCAATTGGTACTGTACCTCTTTGGGGTAAAAAACACAGAAATGCACAAAGATAGGCATCTTCATTATTGTTACATTTCTCCTGTCTTTTAATTATATATATATATATATTTTGGGGAGGGAGTGAATTTCAGCCTTTCTTTTTTTTCCTTCTTGACCCACTTTTGACAAATCCAACAGTGATACATAATAAGGCTAAACAGAAGGCCATTTGAAAACCACTGTGGTAGGACATTATTAAACTAAGACATTTTGATTCTCTGGAGTGCATTGAATGGCTGTTTGTGTGGTTGTGACTACCCGTCCCAAGGCCCCCAGATATGAACAGGAGAGAATCTGAAATGAGGTCAGCAGCTGGCTGAACTTCTGCTGAACCTGAACACGCCTTGTCCTCATCTCACTACACTTCCCCTTGTCGCTGGCTGCAGGCAGCCTTCTGGACCCCCAGTCCTGGGCCACAAGGAGCTAGTGGCTGGTGCTGCGCTTTTCCTCATGCTGCTCCTTCAACTTGGGCTGTGTTCCCTTTGTTCTATTTTTCCAAATTCCACTCCTCACTTAAGACTGCTCAAAATTCTGTCTTCTCTACAAAGTATACTTCCAACTTGTTATAAGCAGTTTGCTGCATGGGTTATTCATTCCCTTCTACTCTGAAGTTGATTATGAACTTTTAGTTTTTTCTTTAGTGTTGGTGATGTAACATAATGTCTTTCATCTTGCGTTTTATCTGGCACAAGGTAAGCACCTAGATGATATAAATGTCTAGCTACTGACTGGAAGAGCAAACATGACCTTTGAGGTAGAGTGGTATAGTGAGAAAGGCGCTGAAATATGTAACATTACTTGCATTTTAAATGCTGTTTCATAAGCTTCTCCTAATATCTTTTATAGAGCACCAGTAGAAAAATCTATGAAATGAAGCTCCTTATACGATACAGTCACCCCATAGTATCTGTAGCAGATTGGTTTCAGAGCCCCCAAGGATACCAAAATCTGCAGATGCACAAGTCCCTTATATAAAATGGTGTAGAATTTCATATAACCTGCACACATCCTCTCGTGTACTTTAAATAATCTCTAGAGATTACTTGTAATCACTAATACAATGTCAATGCTATGTAAATCATTTACCTGCAAGGCAAATTTAAGTTCTGCTTTTTGAAACTTTTTGATCCAAGACTGGTTGAAACTGTGTGTGAGGAATCTTTGAGTAAAGACGTTTGACTGTTTTGGCCATTTTAGAAACTTTTTCCTTCCACATCCCCGTCCTTTGCCAATATCTGACAATGAAGTTGTATAAATTGTTTACCTTATTACATGAATTCTCCCTGATTTAACCCTATCTAAAATGACTGTATACTTTCTAGGGCAAGTTTCAACCAACAAATAGCTAGTCTGATCTTTCCAGAGAATTATAGACTGATTCTTATGAAACATGGATTCCCACCAGTATAACTAACCACTAGCATTAAAGAACAGATGCCAGGCTATTAACAATGGAATAGGAACAGGCGCTGACCATGGGCTATTAACAAGGAGGCTGACAGCTGGAAATATTTACTTGATGGGCACTGTTGGTGACCCCGAGCGATGAAAATGAACGTTCTGCCACTTCCCGTCCCGGCGGTGCCACACGCGTGTCTCTTCCGACTGCATCGTTTTCGGCATCCCACTGCCATCCATGTACTGGGTGAGCCTAATGTATGCGATGCAGGCAGCGTCATCGCCCACCAGGTGTACATGAGGGTTCAGGATGATGGTGTGGATGGGTTTATTGCTTTTGGACAAAGCTGAAAGAGAATATGGAAAAGAGAACTTAGTTTCTATGCAAAGTAAACTGAAACCAGTAATAACTTCACTTGGGACCAATAAATAGAATATCATTCATCCATTCAACTATTCATTATTGCAAATAATTGAGTGCCTGTACTGTGCAAAGTATAAAGAAAAAGATCAGAAGTAGATACAGCCATTATTTTCTTTGTGGTTAAATTGTACGCCACTCAAACTTTGGGTGAAAAAGCTGGAGAGGCGTAATTACAGTGGGAAGTGGTTAGGAACAAGCCATCAAGTAGACAGAGGTGGAGAAGGGCTGGCCCAGGTGCGCGGAGCAGTTTTTTTCCAGTAAAGGAACTGCGGGGACAGTTGACAGGATATCCTGTGGGCTAGTTCTTTTTTTTTTTTTTTTTTTTGCTAGTTGGTAAAGTACATGGGGCAAGGGAAATACATCATGTCTTAAGCATGGAGACTGCTATCTTCTAAATAGGCTGGCCATAGGGTGAATCAGTTTCCGCATCTCATCCAGTAGTGGCTTCTTTATTTGGTACAGTCCATTCTAGCAGTCCAATTACAGTTAGCCAGTAAAAATCCAAAATTTGGTGTTGGCCATATAGCCTGATTCTGATCCTCTAGCTCTCTCCTTTGATTGAGCAGTTCTCATTAGGCTCCAGCCTTTGTTGTTTTGACATCTATTTATTCTGACTGTTCAATGACTAAGAGAGATGAAGATTTAGTGCAGATATTGACTGATGCTACTCTTTGATCACTAAAACAGGCAGAACTGTTTTACCTGTTATCCAAACATATCCTTCATTCCCAGGAAAGGTCTGAATTAATTACTTACTGCTACAGTCCGATAAAAAACAATATCCCATTATTATGAAGATGTATTTATGGAGAGTAATGAAGTGCAGTGTTATGCTGAGGTAGGTTACAATATTAATGGGTTCATTATTTTACTACAGATGAGGTGGTATCAAGCTAGTCTATTGAAGAAAACATTATGACATGCTGTCAATCACAGCATGAAACAGAATATAAGAACATCTACTGAAGTTTTGTTAAGGCCAGTTTACCACATAATTATCTTTGTTTCCTTGAAAATATCTATTGCATATAAGAAAAAGCAATTCATCGAATGTAGAAATGCATGCCAATGCAAATATTCTTGTCAATGCTTATAATTACTGGATGTAAACCTGATTATCTGAATCATTACTATGATTCCTCTTTAATTCATAAAAATTTCATTGCAAAAGGTGAATTTACTCCCTGCATCATGCAAACACCTTATACCTAATGCCTTTGGGAGAAGGATAAGAGGAACTTCTATTTTATACTTTTTTTGGTGACCTGAAGGATTTCTGCAGGAGTTTCTTTTATCACTTTCTCTGAAATGTGGCCATTTCATCGATACCATTAAAACTCTTGTACTCTGAATTGAAATATTTACCTCATTACTCATCTTCATATACATTTTTACCTTGAAAATGAGCACTACTTATTATTCTTGAAAGCACTCTTCTCTATGGCAAATATTCTGGCATGCTGTAATTTCTCTTATTTTTTCATATAAACAATGTTTTGAAAACCTGAAATTTAATTATTAAATTTTAATTTTTTAATAATTAAATTAAAAATTAATAAATTTTTAAGTATTTATACTTTTTGATAACTCATTTTACTGCTTATATTATACATTTACTGGGACTTCTATGGGGTGTATTTAATCACCATCACTTTTTATATAAAATTAGGTATTTTTCAAAACATACCAAAGCTTATGCCTATTGTGATTTTTTATTTCAAATTACAATATTATGATGTAGGATGCTGGACTAAAGTAAGAATGCTCATTGCAGGAAAGAGCCAAAGAATCTAGAAATTCTGGAGAAATTCAGAGAAGCTGGAAAAGGCATGATATTCAAGTAAACGTACCATTTTCAAAGTAGAATCGATGAAAGTCCATCCCTTCCACTAAATTACCCAAAGCTTCGGGTTCAAAAGCAGTAAGGCCTGGGTCACAGATTTTTCTGTAGGAAAAAAAAAATAAAATAATGAGTTAATGTATTTTGTTGTTCCACACATATCCATTTCTAATTTATCAAACAGTCACTGAAGGAAAGAGTCTTAAAAAACACTGCAAACAAAGTTTGTATCACAGGCCGGGTTGAAGAGAAAACCCTAAAAAAGAATTGCAGTGACCTCAGATAAGGAAAAGATAATACAACCAGTTCCAGCAGCTGATAATCTACAATGCTTTAGGAGTTTCCTTCGAAACATTTCTAATTTTTAATTTGCAAGGGGAATTCTCTAGGCTTTCCCCAGTTTTTATAATTCCCTAGTTTTCTAGTTGTTATAAGTTTATTTTTGAAATGCTAAGTCCTATAAAATAAACTTTGCCTTGGAAATTAAAAATTTTTGGAATAATCTGATACTATCTACATTCATGTGAATGGTCATTTAGACTGATGTGAAGGTAAGTATTTTCTGGCAATGTCCTCAAGACTTAAACTTTAAATACAAGCTTAATTAACTTTTATAATTGAGAGATTCAGATGCACATTAGTTTACTTTTTAATCCTAGGATCATGATTCAAGAAAAAAAAAAAACATTTTAAATATTCAGGGAAAGCCAAAGGGCTTTCTTGAAAAAATTCAGCAAAAAGTTTGTTAAATACCTACTGTGTAGCAGATATTCTTTGAAACAAACAACAACTAATACTGGAATGGAAATAAACACAAAGTGCCCAAAACTCAGATTATTTATCTGTGAGATAGGAAAGATTTAAGAGAAAAATCTGAGTTTCACTTTCTGGAGTAAGAGTTTTCCAGGTACGTGGAGAGGGACAGGCAGACAGGGCGGCAAAGACCATGCCGGAGTCTGGCTGGGGAGTGATGTGACAGCCAGCAGATGCGCTGAGGATGGGGGTCTCTGTAAGTCCCATGGAGACAGCAGAGAAAACACTTCTCGGTATTGTGCGATCAAAGTAGGCGTCTTAGAGAAGGCGCCTAAAATCTGGATTTGAAGAATTTAGTAGTTCAGAAACTTAGATAAAAAGAATGCATACTGAAGGATTTTGGACCATTAATTTGGTGAGGCGTCATCTAATTTCCTACAGAAATTCCCCATGTGGGAGATGAAAAGTTAAAAGGGTTTTAACAAGAATACAAGTTTTAAAAAGATCATTATGGTTCTTAAAAGTACAGTTCATGGAATTTTGGAACTGATTTTTTTAAAGAACTTTTAAAGTAGAAAAAACTCTTTAAAGCAAGATATCACAGTGGTTTATTCATTGTGGTAAAGAAAGCCTCAGGTGCAGATAGGGTGGGAGTGGGTAGAGATTTTAAACACTCAGACTTCCTGGTGGGCAGGTATTAAAGCTCAAAGTTAAATATATATAATCTCTAAGAAGCAAAATGGCAAGAACAGTGTTCCCATGGTAACAGGACTTGTTTTCTGCCAGGGGCTATAATTTCTTTATAAATAAGACTTTTGGTTGTCAACATTAGTGAATCAAAATTTTTTACTACTTTGTATCAGCACCAAAATCATCTGAGAATCACTGTGCTATGATGGATCTTTTTACCCAACCATTGAGTCAACATAGTTGAAAACTTAGTAATGTGTTCTTTCTCTCTGTTTCTATGTAAGTAAGTAATGTATGTCTCTCTCTCTCCTATCACAGGCTTTGGATTAATAAAAGAGTCATAAACTGCTCCTTGACCTATGGGGGTGCATGCTCCAAACAGGTGTTCTGAAGACAAGCTGACAGCTTTACTGATACCTCCTACCATCCCCAAATGGGAGGTGCTCTGCGTTAACTACTGGGCCTGAGTGTACAAAACCAAGCCAGAAGACAGGAAAAGGAATTAATGAGCTGAGGAGCTGAATTATTTAAAACACCCTATTTTAAAGTGTCTGAGAATATAGCAAGTGCTATATTTTGCCACTTCGGCCTGGCTGACAAACTCCACCATTCCACAGGGGAAAGCTATTGACATATTTTTTAAAGTGTATTATGTTTGAGGAATCATACGGATCTAACAAAGTTATATCAACCAAAAGAATAAAAGAGAGCTGGTCCTATGGTTCAGGATTCTAAACAATTCTTTAACAACTATTCAACTGTTTAATTTTCTAACAACAAACAGTATTTTTTAAAACTCCATTTCTTACTATTTCTTTCATTCTAATATACTCTTACTAGGTCATGTTAAAGAACTGATACACACACACACACACACACATATATATGTATATACTCATGTTTGCACACACATTAAATTTATAAGAGGCAGTCCTGGGATTAATTTAGTTCTTATATTCAGTTACTGTCTTCCATACTTTATATTTGTTTATCTATTCATAACTGATAAAAAATCTTTTATATAAAACTTGGAAAGAAGCAAAAAAAAAAACCCCCCCAGTTTCATCTCCCAGAGGCAGTATCTTTTGTTCACAATTTTTGTCCCTGTTTAAAATTCAAAATCCATGCCCCTGTTAAATTTTTATAGCTAGAAATACAGGGTTAAAGTAGTAATTTGGACCTTTATAACTTTTCTGGTGTATAATAACTAATTGTGACCCAAGTCCCAGCCGCTGCCACCACCATGAAAGTGTCCCCATCATATCCCGTCAGGCAGAGGGCAAGCCACTGGGGTCCTGCAGTCTGCTGCCCTCTGTGGTCAGCAGGGGTTTTATCCCTGCTCATCTGAGGGGCAGAGAATCTCCTACATTCAGATTTGCACTTGATTAGTGGGCATCAAGATGGTCTCATTAGTTTGTCATTTATATTTCCTCTTTTGCTAATGGTCAGTTCAGGTCCTTTACCTATTTTTCCATTTTCCAATCTTATTGTCTCAATATAAATTAATTTTAGGTACATTTTACAAATACTTTGTTAGTTTTATTTTGGCTTCAAAAAATTACAATAGGTAAGTTCTCTCTCTAGGTGGCCCAATCATTTTACTTTCTCATTTCTGTGAGATGAAGATAAAGTTCAGCTGTACTGGATGTTGCCTCCTGACTTCTCTCTGTCCCATCACCTCTGCAGAACTGAGGAAAACCACCCCTAAGCCCAGATGCACTTTTCCTGTGCTTTCCCGTTTCTTTTGTTTTTAACCTCATGGACTGCTCTGCTTGCAAAGCCTTCTCTCACATGGAGATGAGCTCTGATAAAGAAATCCCCAATTTTCCTGTCAGAAGTCTAATCTCTCTCTGCAATCTTTAAATACGCTTGTTTCTTTCCTGGGGCACTTAAGTCATTTATACCTTGAAATGAAGGTATCAAACCTACCTACTGTATCAAACCTGGGTTGAATATACATGAGTTCAGGTACACTGAAGAATGCATTCATATAGAAAACACTTAGTTATATGCATGAAAGCAAAATAAATGTGCCTCTACTCACGTGTAAGCTTCAAAGTCCCCATTGTTGATAGCTTCGATCAGTTGTTCAGTGACTTTGATAATCTCTTGCTTTCGTGCTAAAGGCAAAGACAGAGAATTGGGTGAGAAATAAAGGGTAGAAGCCATATAAGATTATTCTAATGATACTATTTTCCTCAAACAGGGTACTACCCATTTAAGACATAGCCCTCTCAGAATCATGGTGTTTTCCTCTATAATCTTGCTGCCCAGAGCTCCCAGATCAATGTTAGGTCCTTGTTCCGAGAGCCTGGCAAAAACAGTAGGAAGCTGTTCTCGGGTCCTACTTCAGACCTAGAGACTCACAGTGTAGCCGTAACAGGACCCGAGTGAACAGGTTCATGTTGGGGAAGCACCACTACATCCCCTTTGTTAGGAAACGACATTCACCTGGAAGGTCAAGGCTGTATTGTTTTACAAATTAGTTTTTATTATCTTCATCTCTACATGATTGAGTTTATGAACATTTTTCTCTTACTATTAACAACTGTGTTATTTAAAAAGACAGTCTTAAAGTATCATGTTACTAATACATCTTTCTTCATAGTATTGCTGAAATGCATTGAGACATTCAATTTATATAAAATTATTATTTTACTGTTTAGCTCAACTAACTCTATGAAAGGGGATGCTAACACTGTAATTGCTATCATGTGTAGATAAATGGCCTTCCATAAACTGTAAATTGGAAAAACAGTGTATGAATTAATGCTATGGATGGAGCTAGAAGCCTTCCTGTAAGCTGTCAACACTGACATCAAACATGATTTGCTTCTATTCCTAGCCCACAACTGGTAAAATTGTTAAAATAGTTGACTTGGCTCAAATTCCACCTATTTCATCTGTCTTTTCCTTTTTTGGAAAGCCTACTTTGTATTATTTGGCAATTAAGGATATACTATATACCATGACAATTTCTTTAGTTAAATTATTGTTGTAAATTGTTACTAAACTTGGTTGACTCTCTAATGTATTCCTAGTTAGATTAAAAGCTCCCTGTGGGCAAAGAACATGTTATTTCTTTGTATCCTCTAAAAAGCTTTATCCAATGTCTTTAATAAAACGAATGCTCAATAAGTTTGTGAATTTGGCCAACTGATGTTGAAAACCTTTTCCTGATTTCAGAACATTATTCTCTTACTAATGAAATAAAAGCATGAAATATTTTAAAAATTAAATTTCATTGAATTATAAGAACATTGTGGTACTTCCTTAAATCACTGGAAATACACTGAGGGTAATCACAAAAAGTTATTTCCACTATACTATAGTGAGGTAATAAGGCTGCTGTTCATCATAGAAAAAAGTGAAGTCTGGTTTTAGTTCTTACTGATTAAAGGCAACCAGTTTGCATTTTTAATGAATCCGATCTTTTTAAAGTACATTCTTAACCACAAACTTAAATGTTTATACTCACTTTCAAAACTCCAGGTTATCTAGGTTTAAATATTCCTTATTTAAAATAAATGTTCTGTAAAAACTAATGACTTCATTGAGACTATATGAGACTACCTTATAAAATATGGTTTCTTGATAAAATGGTTACTAACAATGTCAAGGTTGATAGTATAAAAAAAATAATCACCATATAGGGTAGATTCCAAAATAAGAGTTTCTTAGTTTCTATACACACTTTAAACTTTTCTTGCCCGTGCTCTTTTGATGAATGAATAGCTATAATATAGCAAATATGAAAGCATACTGACAGGAGGAGTGTCAGGGAATAATTCTATAACACGATGGTGCCGGTGGCACATTCTAGCTTAAATTTATTTAGGTAATAAGTGATTCATCTGTCTCTGGCCTCAACAGTGTGAACATTTGGCAAAAAGGCATGACAGCTGACCCGATTCCAGAATATACAGGACACTGGTGTGGGGAGCTCAGAAAATGAAATTAGGAAAATGTGACTATGAAAACTTACTCCTTGTATTAAATCCTCGTTTAAAACTAATAGATTCCCTAAGACGCTGGGTGGCTAATCAGTAAAAACTATAGTTTAGAAAACAATGTCAATTTTTTAGAACAACAACAAAAAAAATGTACGTAAGATCACTGCCCTTTGAAGAGCTTCATTAGGCCAAGTTAGTTTACACAGTGTGAGAAGTTCAGAGTCACTCTCTTAAAGTCTCTGGATTTCTTCATAAGCATAGTATGGTATTAGAAACATGGGGTGTGCGTGGCCATGTCTCACTCTGAACAATGTGCAAATACTAGCTCTTCAACAGTTGGTATCCCTACAACTGGCTTAATCTTCATCCTGCATAATCAAAGTGACACAAATTGCCTTCTTAGTTCTTATGTTCAGAGACAGTGGTGCTGGAGCTGGCAGGACGGCAGATGGGAGGTGGCCAGGATGCCTCTGTGCTGCATCATCATAAAAACAACGTGAGGCTCTTGGCTTGGGAGGGGCCTGGAACTCAGGAATCTTTAGAGTGCTGATTTCCCTGGAGCAAAGGCGAGTGAGTCAGGGCAGCACATGACAGCTGACTCTTTAAAGGAAAGCAGGAGGCTGGGGATGAATCATTTGTATACAGTAGTCTGTTGTGGTTGGAATGGTTGCCACAGTGACTTAGAGGAAGATGAAGGGTTTGGTACTAGCCAGGTCTCCTCTCCTCCGCAGTGAGGCTGAGGGATGATCGCCGGGTGAAGCGCGTCAGTGCCGCTGTTCTGTGGGGAGGGCCATTCTCTAGCCCTCCCTCTCCCTGAGAGTAAGTGATGGCCACCATGGAAGTCCAAGTGGGGAGATCTGTGATGTGTCCCTACACTAAAGGTGAGGGAAGACTGTACCAGTAAGGTGTTCCCTGAATACCCGAGGCTTCTACCTTGTGGCTAACCATTTAATCACAGGGAACTGATTACCGAATCGTTTTATTGACAGAATTGAGGTGCTCAAGCCTATACCCACAGGTCCTAAAGGAGACTTCCAGGTTCCTAGGGGAAAGGCAGGAGAGAAAAGCAAATGGGAGAAATATTCCAGATCCTGAGTACAATCACATCCTATGCAATTCTGCAAAAGAACTGCAAATAGCATCATGTTCCAATTCATATTTTTTCGTTCTTTATTGTTCTAAAGAAGCCTGAAAGAGTAAGTTAAGAGTGAACGGTCCAACTATTTAAAACAAAACAAAACAAAAAGCATCTCTGGGAACTGAGAGTGATTATATGATAAAATAACTGATAGATTTCAACATTTCTCAAGCAGTATGAGATCTGAGCATCATGGCAGTTCCCTCAGATACGCAGACAGATGTTACCCCTCTGGTTAACAAAGAAGTTGGGAGTACAGGTACTGCCCAAAGCCACAGCGTTTGCTGATTACTCCTTTACACCATCTTGAAATACTCCTCTTTTTTCACTTCTCCCAGCTTTTCTTATCAATCATCTGATCACAGCATCTCACTCACATTTGCCACATGGACTTCAAATGTTTCAATTCCTTTCAAAAGGCACAGTCTGAGGCCCTCTTACCATATACTGTTATCCCTACAGTTCTGTCTATACCAGTGCTTTAAACTGCTGAATATCCCATGACTCCCAGATTGTTACTTCTAGACTGTTCCTCTAGGTCTGTAAGTCAGCGCCTACTTTGGAATCTCCATTTGGACATCTCAAATGCATCTTGAACCCAACATACCCTAAATTGAGCATATGAATTTCTGTCACCACAAACCTATTTGCTCTTCCAGGGACCTCATCCTGGTGAATGGCAACATCATTCATTTACACAAGCCAGAAAGAAACCTATGAGTCATTTTTGATTCCCTCATCCCACCTCTCCCAATCCAGTAGTTCAAGCCACATTGAGTTTTCCTTTTAAAGGCCTTATACATTAATCCACTTTTCTTCCCATCACTCTGGTACAACCAACCATCATTTCTTATCCAGAATAAATACCTAAAGAGGGACTATTAAACCTTGACAAATCTAAACCAGGGAAGCCCATGTGTATATATGTGTGTGTGTGTATATATACACACACAATGTATACAAGTATCCAGTGGAATACTACTCAGCCATAAAAAGGACACAATAATGCCATCTGCAGCAACATGGACGGACCTAGAGATTCTCACACAACGTGAAGTCAAAGACAAATGCCACATGATATCACTTATGTGTGAAATCTAAAATATGACACAAATGAGCTTACCTATGAAACAGAAACAGACTCACAGACATAGAGAACAGACCTGTGGTTGCCAAGGGGTGGAGGAGGGATGGATTAGGATCTTGGGATTAACAGATGCAAGCTGTTATATATAGAATGGATAAACAAAAAGGTCCTACTATATAACACAGGGAACTATATTCAACATCCTCTGATAAACTATATGAAAAGAAACAGGGAAAAGAATGTATACACATTATAACTGAATCACTTTGGTGTACAACAGAAATTAACACAACATTGTAAATCAACTATAATAACTTGAACAAATATTTGTTCTGTTTAACTACTACTTCTACATTCACGGAGTTACTGGGTACTTGCCTGCCAGAGACTTGAAGGACACGGGGGTTGAGTGACTTGTTCAAGTCATCCAACAAATTCAAAAGCTGTGCCAGGACTGGAACTTTATTTGGCTGAGGTGTTGTCTGCTGTTTAATTCACTAATCTATGTTCCTTTCCAACCCACAGTGCCTAATTCAATATTTTGAAATCATAAACTTAAATGAACCACCTAAATGCCTTTGCACTTTCTCTGGCAAGGTGACTGACAACTTAATTACTGGGCCAGAGTTGTAATTAATTATTACACCAATTCAAAAAAATTGGGTGTCCCATGGTTTGTCTTTTTCCATACTGCCATTAACAAAGATAATGGTTGGGAATAGTTACTATCTTAGGCAAATATACAAATTAGGATCATTCTCATGCTCTTGGTAGTTTTACACCTGTGAACTCAGCTATGTTTGGAGTTTCCTGTGCAATTAACAGCTTGTTTCTTGGTCACTGTTTTTTTTATTTCACTAATTTCATATACCCACTCCAGCGTTTTTGCCTGGAGAATCCCAGGGACGGGGGAGCCTGGTGGGCTGCCGTCTAATGGGATCA